TTCTATATAACACATTGTGCCCATAGATTATATCAGCGATTGTAATTTGAAAAGAATTGGCCCCAATACGGTGTAACGTTTAACACTATGTGCTGTACTATACAACAACAGCAGCAACAACAAGTAGTAAACGCCGCTAAAATGTAGTTCTACGGTATTTTAGTTTTGTTACGCCATCTATTTTTGTGGCGACCACTGAAACCAGCGCTCGTAATTCAATTTTAATAAATGCAAAAATTTTGCCGTATGCCCGATTTGATGAAATAAGCCACAATATATGACGATATGTCAGTCATAAAAAATGCTAAAGGCGTATGTACATAAACTACGCAAACAAATAAAAATATAATATTATTAAACTCAAAACAAAATTTAAAAAAAATTAAATTGAAAAAAATATTAAAATTTAAAGATTTTACAAAAATATCTAACACCCAAAAAGTTGTGTAAACTATGTTTGCTAAAGCATTTAAATATATTTTTATCTGTTTGTTGTTTTTCCCATTCCAAATATTTTCCAACCACTTTAGCAAACACTTTTTCCCATTTTGGCTAAATTCATAATTTTTTTCCACACTTTATTAAATTAAAAAATAAATCCACAACAAACTTGCAACAACTGAGCTCTGCCTAAAATTGGCTAAATCTAACAAGCAATAAAATCCCAAAAATTTGTACAATGTTGCAATTTACTATGTAGTAGCATGTACATAGTTGTTTTTGTTATTCTTCTTTTCGAAAAGTGTGTAATTTTTTTAGTGGCTCTGTCACATCAATCACAATGTTTATACATATGTATGTCGGTACTTACGTGACTTTACCTATTGTATACAAGCCCAGTGGTCAAACTTATTAGTTTGGAACTAACGAGTAACTCGTTAATTTGTGAAGTCAAATTGTTTCACAGCAGAATTTTTTTGCATTGGACTTCATTTGTATTTATTGTCGTAAGATCTTTAACTTTCTCGCAAGAATAACATATGGGTTCTCGGCTATTAATATTAACTGTCTAAACTCCTTCAGCGGCATTACGAAAGTGGTAGAAGATCTTATAAACCCTTGGAGCCCGACAGCTTAAGCTGAATCACATTTATGCTTTACGAAATTATTGACAGAAAAATAATATTTTATAAGAAAAATAGTATTCTTCTCCGAAAATTAACTTCACTTGGCTAAGTATTGCAGGATGGGTAAATTTTATAACAAGATCGGTAGAATGTAGGGTTTTGGACGATTGGCACTATCTCTGCGATATTTATCTGAAGTGAAATATCTAAATCAATCAAATATCGATTGAAGAACAGAATAAAGCGACATACGGACTTAACTCTCACTTTCAACCTTTCCACGTCTAAAATGTTGAACTGTTTATCAATTAATTCTTTAGTAGTCAATCCTAATACATCTTCAAGATGGCTTAGAATTCTAAGATCAGCTCATCTCTGGCAAAAATCTTACAGTAACTAGAAAAACTCTGAGAAATGTGTCTTCAACTGAAAAAACAGAATTCTTAGACTCGAGTGAGCTCCATTCGAAGGGTAATCGGGTCTATGGAACTGGAACGGCATATCTCTCCGATATCATTTTCTATGTATCGGCCGGATTTGAGCACACAATTTAATAAATATTAGTCAAACACTAAACACACTCGGTTGTGGTGCCTTCATATACATTGGATTTGAAAAAGTATTCTCAAAACCATATGAGTTTATAATATTTGAAGCAGAATCACTCTTTTGTGCCAAAAACAATTCCCAAACGCGAGACATATGTAACCACTCCGTTTACGTACTATATCCCTCATTCTCAACACCGACAACTTGCCTTTCTGATTATCTATGGTGTAATAGCTATGTTTGAACTGTGTAAAAGCATAGTTAACACCACAATAAACTATCCGATAAACAATACATATGCAGGTACCTCCGATTTGTGCTCGGAGTTTACATAGTCCAGCGGCTATTCGCGGCGATAAACAACACTTTAGCCCGTTTACAATTGCAATCTATTCGCTGAGCTGGGTGCAGCAAACATTTTGGGCCGTTATTCGCTTAACCACAAAACGGCAAGCCGCTACTAATGCGCTTGTTGTGTTTGTGTATGTTTTTCTAGTTTTCCTTTTTTATAATTTTCTAATTTTTTGGTTTTCTGTTAGTGTAATTTAATGCACTTGTCAACTTTAGTTAATCCAATTAAAAATTTTGACATGACAACAAACTAAATGCGACTCTAATGGTCAATACTTGTAGTATAACAAGCGAATGGACAAGCTTAAACAAGCATACTTAGATACATAGTTTTACTAGTGCAACTAAGCGCAACTTAGAACTAGCACACATTACAACAATTAAGTAATTAGACTGTGAAAATGTAATCGAAATATGTGTGTTGTTGTAATTTTGAAAATATTTCATGTGCTGGGAAGCATAACATATTTCGACAATAAACAAAAACATAGTTATTTCTATATTTGCAATGATATCTTAGCAAATAAAAAAGTTTGTCATACCAGAACTTGTTTCTGATCGTGCAACTTCTTGTATCTCTATACAGACGGACATGGCATCGGCTCAGCGCACGTTGCTGATCATTCATATATAATATATATACTTTATTGGGTCTCCGACGTTTCCTTATGTGTGTTACAACCTTCATGCAAACTTAATATTCCCCGTTCAGGGTATAAATATTATGTAAAAATCAATTTAGCGACTTATTAACTTTATTATATGTATTTTTTACTTACCTCTCTAAGCTATTTTTTTATATTTTAGTTTTATGGCCGAGACTCCTGACAACTGTTATCAAAATAAAGCAATAACTAACCTGAAAATGTACTTTTCGTCAAACAATTGGGTAAAAATTGTATTAATAGCTGTCTTCTATTCATCAAACTATGGAAGAGCGGAAAGGTTATAAGATATCCACCATTCTCTACTTCTTGCTTTTGATATATAGTATTATCTGATTTACAGTTATTTGCCATTGACCGAAAATAGATTCAAAATTAATTTTGCATAACTGACCCCTTAGAACACTGCCTTGGATGAAAAGAATGTGATAATATGTGACGAAAAGCCATTGTGAGTTGGATCATAACGATTACTAGATCAATTGTAGAAATATCAAATATCAGTAGATATCGATTGTAACTATATTTCCATAACGGAGTCATTTCCTTTTTCAGAGACCAACTTATCCCAAAGCTTTGTGGCTCTATCTACCATACAACATTCAGCTCATAAGCAAAAGTGGAAAGGGAACTCATTTAACTTTTTAAGCGAGGCCTCGGTCGTTCTTACGGTTGGAGTCGCGTCATAGTTAAACCTTGTCTATATTATAATCAGAATTCCATAATTCACCACCAATTTTTTTATTTTTATTTCATGTTGTTCAACATGTTTAATCTCAATATGCATTGTCTTCTTCTAAGTTATTGTTTGCCATACAAATATACATATTGTTTTCTTTAAACGCCGAGATCTGTAGTGAAATCATATATTATATTACAACGTAAACGTTCTAGATTTTATTGAGCACAAGACCGCAATTTCTCTAGGATTTTTAATATATTTTATTTTATAATTATGATTTACGCAACCAACTATAATGCTATTTAGAACCAGCCTAGCATAGAATTAAATGCATTTTTTTTATTTGTTGAAAATTTAACACCTTTTGAAATTCACGCAACGTTTATTGAATTCTAATATATATGGTATTTGTATGTATGTATGTACTTTTGTGTGCGTATACAACAATAATCCAACAATAATAAACAGCGTGTCACGTTATTCATTAATTTGGGACCAACTGCTGCGAAAAAACTAAACGAATTATATATTTTACTCTGCCAACAACAATTTTAGTCACAAATTGAATTTTTTTTTCCGCTCTTTTGTCATTTTCATGGTGGTTACCACTTTTCTTTTTTTTTTTGCAATTTTTTCTTAATAAAATAAAATGCGGTTGGCTATAACAAGAGAAAAACTGATATTGCACGAAAACTGTCAATTGCCGGCGATTAGTTAGCCAAAAATAGTGAATTGCCATTTTTGCACAGAACATTTTTTAGATTTGGCAATTTTTTAATGTACAATTTTTCGCAGATTTTTTATTGCATTTTTCACAGTTTATCAAAATTGCATTTGTTCAACATAAATGGCTAAAATGTGTGTATTTCATGCTGTGAGAAAATGCCACAGAGCTTTTTGCCAATTTAATTTGTTAATTAATTTTTTTTCCCTATAGTAAATTGAGTAAAATTCCAATTTTTATTTATTTTTAAGTTTGCAGACGTGATAAAATCTTGATTTGTTAAAGGTACATAGAAAGAGTTTGTGGAAATATCATTTTGCTAAATTTTTATTGAATAATTTGAGCGGGTTGACGATACCAAAATATCTTAATGCTTTTTCAGATATTATATTTATATTGTATTTTTTTAAAAACTGCATCGGTTTTTTAAATCGATAACTCTACCTGTTTTCACTCTTGATAAAATTTTGGTTTGTTGAAGCGCATCACAGAAATATTATTGCTTTATTGATTAAGTTCAGCGCATTGTCGATACCACAGAATATCGATATTTTTTAGATAATAAATCGAGTTTTTTGCATCAATTTTTAAAATTATGGAACGTAAACGCCGAATATCTTCAATTTGTATGCTTTTTAAATCGATTTTTTCAAATCGAATTTTATCGATACTTCTACCTGAGTTCTAATTGCAAACTAGACGAGTAAATCAGATCCAAACGAATTTCTACTTAATCGCTTTTTTTTGCCACTGGTTCTCCCTAAAACTGCTTCAAAATAACTTCGACAGATTAGTGATTTTAAAGCAGTTTTTAGGTTCGAACAATTTATTTTCGATAGCGTCCCATAATTCTACCCAAAACTAATTAATAACTTTAGCCGTAATATCCTTCAAATTAAAATTTTTAAACTGATTACTCTATTCCTCTCATATATAAAAAAGAAAAAACATTAATAACTCACCTGCTTGAGCGTTAGGCGCGCCGTGTATCTCAAGTCACTGCCTTCTCGCTTAAACATCGCATGTGGTTTATCCCTAATGATGAATACAATATCCGCTGGTATCTTGCCGGGGGCTTGATCGCCTTCCTTTTGAAATGTCACCTTTGTACCAGATTTCCAGCCCGGTTTAATCGATATGCTTACATATTTGTCCTCTTTCCTGGACGAACCGTCCGCTTGTACAATTCTTCGTGATATTTTCATCTTTTTCACACAACCTTTGTAGATTTCATCCAATGTTAGATAGAGATCATGTTCGACAGGTGGATCTTGTTGTTTCTCCTTTTTGAATGGCGTATGCACATTGAACGAATGTGATCTAAATGAAGGCCTTCGCTTTATTTTTTAAGCATCCAATACAAGCGTTAATTGGTCGATATTATGAGGTTCACTTTGACGAAAGAAAATATTCTCATAAGTAGAGGGTTTGAGAGGAAGTTTTGGAAGTCTCGAACTGTATGTATGACCTTTAAAGCTCCAATAGTTTCAGCTCAAAATTAAGTTTCTACGATTCTAAAATTATGTTATCAACTGCTCAAATTCACGAAACTTGTCCTATGAAGAAGCTGTTTTAGAAAGCCAAGAAGAGGGAGCGTTTAAGCCACTTCGTTAGACTCAAATAATTATGAAGTAATTACCATTGGTATTGAATTTAGAGATCTATATTTTTTCAAACAAGATTCAAAAGCAAATATTATAAATCCCTGGGTGACTTATTTAAAAATTAAGACTTACCGAGCTTCTATTCAATCTCTGTATTCGTTATGAGTCGATCGATAAATGGCATCCGAGTGATTCATGAATTAAAAAAAAAACAAAGTTCTGCATTCAGAAACTTTTTCAAAGGTTCTGACATTAACTACTCTAAAGAAAACATGTTTCAATAAAACAGAGACAATTTAAATTGGGGCTCGGATGATTCATTTTTTCTTTTCATGTAGGTACCGAACTTAATTCCCTACTTAACTTTCTTTTGCCAAAGTCAACCTCGTTGAAATTTTGCCATAAGCCGAAATTATACGCAGCAAACTTACCTGAATCCACCGCCTAGTCCATGCCGTGAACCCAAACCACCAAATGGCGATGAGAAGAAATCATGTTCGGTATCTAAATCGAACACATTCTTATCGAATAGATTATCGCCCATATCGAAGAATGACGCAAAGGGATTGCTCGAGCCGAAGAATTGGGCGAAGGTCGCCCGTGGATCACCATGGAACTGATATGTGAAGGTATTATTGCCGGTGGTGCCGTTACGAGTGCCTATAAAATGTAATTGAACACAAAATAATTTCATTAAGATCTCCAAATCTAACTTACATGTACACACATACACACAAGCACAGATTTACGCATAATTACACACAGACACATACATTGAGAGAGTTATAGAATTGCATGTTTTATAAGTAGTATTGTAGAATGATCACTGTACCTCCACTCTTCAGACCCTCTTCGCCATATTTATCGTACACCTCACGTTTACTCTTATCGGAGAGCACTTCGTACGCCTCGGCCACCTCCTTGAATTTCTCCTCCGCATTTGAGGCTTTATTTTTGTCCGGATGATAGCGTAGCGCTAATTTTCTGTAGGCCTTCTTAATCTCCTCGTCGGTGGCAGTTTTCGGTATACCCAGTGTTTTATAATAATCTTTACCCATTTTTACACTTTTTTATGGTTATCACTTGGTGTAACGCGTTACTGTTTTGACGCTGAATTGTTGATGCGTGGTGAGTATCTTCAATGTGTATGTTTGTACGTGTTTCTTGGTGTTTGATTGGGTTCGAGTTGAACGAAAGTCGTGCCGTTTTAGTAATTTAACCGCTTAAATCTGTTATAAAAGAAATAAAAAAATGAAAGATATATTTGAAACTTCTCAATTCACCATTTCGAATCTCACTACTTACAACACTTGTATAAAACTAAGCTGCTGTTGAACTCTTCCGCTAGTAAATTCTCAATGTTTGTTGTTGCCCTTTCCATAGAATCCCTCAGCGTGCCGTACAAGTCACAAACATTATTTTCTTCCGATTACAAAACGATGAAAATATATTGGTGCTGAGGCTAAGAATTCTTCTAGACTGTAATTTTTCAGAGCAAAAAATGCACAAAAATGTTAGTTGTTTACACTCGCTAAAAAAAATTTCGTGAAAAAAATACTAGTTGATACGGAAGTAATAGTAACTTGTAAAGACAAATAAATGGCAATACAAATATATGTATAAGTATGTGGATAGGGTTTATCCACAAAAAAAATACTAATAATAAAACAAATTTTGATGACTTGTTCAGATTTTTTTACTTCGAAAAAATATGTATTGACAGCACGAAAGCATACTAACAGCAAATGCTTAGGGAACTGAGCAAGACTCAGGGATGCTCGGAAATAAGCAAAAAAGTATAACTATTAAATGGACTTTTGAAATAAAAAAGATTTCCATAAAAATTAGGATAAGAGTCTAAAAAGTGGTAAGCGCAAATTAAACATATATTTTTTAAACAATTGAACTATTAGAAAGATCTCTTGTTCTCACTCAGCACGATGTATACAGTTTTTGAAGTTTTTTTCTAGATAAATTTAGCAATCGCGGGCTAAAACATTTCTCACATTAGACAAAGAAATAAATATAACAGTCAAAAAGGGAAATATAAGTTAAATGAAGTAAGCCATAGGCAATGTTGCAAATAATGCATTAAAAAAATTATTGAATTAAAATTGGAATTAAAATTTTCCCCACACCTAAATTTAGTCCCACATACCAGAATAAAAAATGTAATCTCGCATGCCGGATTAAAAAATAAATCAAAAAAATGCTTAATCCTAAAAACCGGATTAAAAATTTATTTTGAAATAAGTATGCAACCGCGAAAAATTAATTAATTCTAAAACAAATTATTTTTTATATTTGTTAATTGTATGCTTGGGATTTTTATTTTTTTTTTTAATTTTAATCCGGTAGTTGGGATTAAAAATTGATTTTTAATTTAAAATTTTTTTTTTTTTTATAAAACGTTACATCTCTTACTCTCTCTTTTGCTTCGATTACTAAGCGTGATTAGATTGAATTTTAGATAAAATAACTATAAATTCTTAAGCTTCTATCAAACATGCTTATATAATCCATGAAATATAAGTATATTTAAGTATTTATAACTTTCATCGAAAACTATGTCTACTACGCATATGTACTAACTAACACTAATTAAACCAAACGGACCTTTTTCAGTAATAACAAGTAAGGAAGGGCTAAGTTCGGATGTAACCGAACATTTTATACTCTCGCAAAGTCAAATGGTATACTCGTTTGAGATTTCTTTGTGGATTGACTGATATTTTCGGTAGAAGGTCAACTATAGGCAATGGGGTCCATATATTCAGTACTTAGGGGTTTGAACAGTTTTGGTTCGATTTAGACAATTTTTGGCCGCAAGTGGCATACTTTAATTGCGTTATTCACGCTAAGTTTTACCCCGATATAATCATTGTTACCTGATTTGCATAGTGGAAAGTGATAGAATCAGATGGAATTGAAAATGGTGTTACATGGGAAGTAAGCGTGGTTGTAGTCCGATTTCGTCCATTTTCGCACTATGATATAGAAACATGAAAAGAACGTTATGCACCGAATTTGGTTGAAATCGGTTGAGCAGATCTCAAGATATGGGTTTTCACCGAAAAGTGGGCTGTGCCACGCCCACTGTCTAATTTTGAACGCGGTTCCTATAAAGTAATCTTATACCATCTCAGAGATAAAATTTAATGTCTCTGGCGTGTTTAGTGCTTGAATTATCGCGCTTTTAGTAGTTTTTAACAGTACCGTTATATGGGGAGTGGGCGGAGTTGCCACCCGATTTCAACTATTTTCACACCGTCAATAGAAGTGCTAAAAACATTTGTTTCTAGTGAATTTTGTTATTATAGCATTAGCGGTTTAGGAGATATGCACATTAAACCTATTAGAGACGGGACCACGCCCACTTTTTAAAAAAAGGTTTTAACTGCAGATGCCCCTCCCTTATGTGATCCTGTGTACCAAATAACAGTCTTGTATCTTATTGCGGAGCTTAGTTATGGCAAGTTATTTGTTTTTGATTAATGGCGTTTTGTGGGCGTGGCAGTGGTCCGATTACGCCCATCTGCAATACCAACCGTCTCACGGTACCAAGAAACATGTCTACCAAGTTTCATAAAGATATCTCAATTTTTACTCAAGTTAGAGCTTGCACGGACGGACGGACGGACAGACGGACGGACGGACAGACAGTCACCCGGATTTCAGCTCGTCTCTTCATCCTGATCATTTATATATATATAACCCTATATCTAACTCGATTAGTTTTAGGTGATACAAACAACCGTTAGGTGAACAAAACTATTATACTCTGTAGCAACAGGTTGCGAGAGTATAAAAATAATCGGTGAAGCCCTCCAGTGTGCCTCAGCGGCTCTAGAGGGTAGATTCGTAAGAAATGCAACGAAACGATAAATTAGAGCCTTGTTTTCCCTTTTTTAAATTTTATGAGTTCATTTGACAACGGACAATATTCCATAGACTAAGATTCTTAGAGAGGATAAAGTCGTATAACATTAGATATGGCTTTAAATGATTTCGACAAGCTCGAGCAAATACGTTGAATAATACAATATAAAAATATTTTACCAAGGCACGTGATAATAGTGCCCATATGATTCAATGTCTTTTTTAGTTTTTTGTTTATGTAGTCATGTGACACTTTTGATTTAATTTTATATTATATTATAAGCTTTCTAAACAAAATGTTGAATGTCTAAAATGGAATACCTTTATTTTTTTTCACCAAACCCTGTCGAAAAAATTTCGTTCTTAAATTTTTTAGCAGGGCGAGGTTCCTAAGCCCGCAAAATCAATCGCCAACAGCATAAATAAACATCAATCTATTAAAAATACGCACGTGCGTACAAAGCATCTAATATATATGAATCTAGTATATACATATATATGTATGTATTTTGGTATATACTTATGTGTACATTATAAATATTACAACACAGTCATCGCAAACAAAACAACTACAACTATATTGAAAATCTCTTGCACTCAAATATTATGAACATCGACAGCAACAACAATGAACAAATCATAATCGTGCTTATGATCAATCCACTCGAACCCACGCATTCGATAAATTTAGCACAGCACAGGCGGTCCAACATTAACTAACTAATATTATAATCGCGGCGAACAAGCTGGCGGCTGGCGGCGTTGGCGATGACGCGCACAAAAGTTTGTGTATTATTGGCGTGTTGGCGAACGGCAGCGTTGCAGAATGAAATAGTAAAGGAAATTTTCAAATATAAAAGATAACATATATACATATTTATGTACATGTAACTAAGTAAATAAATATATATAAATACTATGTTCACAGAAGTACGAAAACTGCTTACGTATGCTGCATATTTTTAAACTTTTCATTTTCACACTTTATTATATTAAAAAAAAATATTTTTAGTCTGTTACTTAATTCATGAAAATAAAGCTTTAAATGAAAAGTATTTATAATATATATGTAAATATGTATGTACGTTTTCGAAAAAATTCACTAAACGAATATTTACACGTTTTTTATTTTCTTTGCTATTTTCCTCTCAGAACTAATTTATATATATTAAGGTATATATGTATATAATATTCTTATATGTCTGTATATTATATGTTAATTAGCATTTCCTACTTCGAAATCATTTACTTTCATTTGTACATATGAATGTTTATTTGGCACGAACAGCATGCCTGATTAGTCTTATGATCTCAAAATTGTGACAAATTCTGTCTATATAAATACATATGTATTATACGCGTATTAGGCCTATCTTATGGTATGCTAGTGGCAAATAAAGGCTGAACTCAGATAAAAAATTCTTTAAAGGCACTATATTTTACAGAGCTGTAATATCTTAGTCATTTAACTTATTCTTCATTTACTTTTTTCTTGAGTGCTTTTTGCTGTTGTTAGAAATAAAAACTAAAATTCTAAATCGATATCTCAAACAGTTTTTGAGTTTTAGCCTTCTAAAATATAGCCGCTCAGTTCAATCAGCTCTATCAGTTTATCTTTGAATGCGTTTTTCTCAAAACCACATTTTTCAAATTTGTTTGAGATCTCTATAAATTTTTTTATTTTGTATATTCCATACAAAAACGAACAAAGTTTTGTATTAAATACAACTTTCTTTTAAACCTACCGATTTTGTCAATTTTTGATTTCTTTTCAACCGTCGATCATTGTATGAACAATATCTCCTAGTAGAGATTTTTTTTTGGGTTTCATCCTTGTAGATGGCTGCAATCACTGCGGAAATTGCGTGTAACTCGAAAAATAGTTAATAATTTTTTTACTGTGTATTCTTGAAATATTTTTAAATATACACCTAAAATTTTAAAACATTTGATACAGTACTTTTTATACTCTCGCAACATGTTGCTACAGAGTATAATAGTTGTTTTTTTTTTAATTCCCACAAACCGTCTTTACAAGTAGTTTAAGCTGTTGCACTAGGTGTTCCCTTGATGATGAGTATACTTTTGGCACTCTCTAACAAGTGTACAAGTTTATCATCACGATATTGTTCGCCTAATTTTTCGGCTTTGAAATCGAATTCATTTGCAAAGTAAAGTTTTCAAAATCGCACATGAAACTTAACATTTTCATAGTCCAAGCTGAAGTCAAAAAGATTTAGATTTGCGACATATTTATATTTTTCAAAGCAAATAATTTTCATCGGAGAAACTTCAGTTAAAAGTTTTGTAAATAATTGTATACAACAACTTAACCCTCTATTGACTATAAAAACTCAAATTGTTTTCGTAATAGGTGTCAAAAATCTCTACGCTGGAAGGAAATATATAAAAAATTCAAATACTTAATAAAAGTTTGCGCCAATAATTTTCTCTTAGAATATAATTAATGTAAAGAGATTATTGTATTATTTAAGCACAAAGCACAAGATTTTCACATTACTCTACTACAGTTATAGGGCTCGTCAGATATACTCCCACTGTGTAATATTATTATTAATTTGTACCAAGCTTTTTTTTAA